GCTCTGGTTAACTGGTACCAGGACTGTCGGGTAGGATAAAAGCACCGATGACTTGTGCATCGGCTTGCCACCGCAAATCATTGTGTAGGCCACATATTGCAATCAACACATCACTACGATTCTGAATGGAAGTCGAATGCGGGGCGCATCCCAAACGGGTTCACTAATGCAAATACTTTATCCGTGATGTTCTATTGTAGCAAACTTAACATCTTAAAAATTGTATTTCAAAATAAAATAATTTTTTCATTAAATTTAGGTTGGAAGCGATTGGTGAGGAGGAAGCCACACATTCATGTTAGACCAACAGAATTTACTCGATCAACCAACCAATAAGATTCTTGCCCTTTTTCGCTTTTTTTCTGAAATTTCTATTGAAAAAGTTGAATTTTCTGACTAAAATTCATTTGAAAAGAAAATAAACAAAATAGCAAAATTTAACGAGAAAAAACGCACTTTTCTAGTCTAGCCATTACTTACCTACCAATCCTGACGTCATCCTATTGTTCTATTTTCATTTTGTTGCATATAATGAGATAAAAATAAATAAATAAATAAAATCTCTCCGAGGGTGACGGCTGATCGACATTGAGTGCAATCATGTATTGGTAGAAAATTTGTAGTAAGAACAATTTGGTATTCTACTTCGCTGCTTTAACCTGGACAGAAACAGAAACAGAAAGAGCTGATTGCACTATGAACTTCTGGTTTTTCTGTACCTTTTCCTATGGACTATTGGTTCCTGCCCTTTCCTCTGTTACTCGGTTCTGTACCAGGGCAGGTAGTATCCTCAATTCAACAATCGGGACCTATTCCATAAGTCTAAAATTCACTTTTGGGTATTTACTCGTGGTTCGTGGTTATGATGCTCTACTTTTGTTTTCCCTCTCGGATAGAAAAGATTGGNGAAACAGAAACAGAAAGAGCTGACTGCACTATGAACTTCTGGTTTTTCTGTACCTTTTCCTATGGACTATTGGTTCCTGCCCTTTCCTCTGTTACTCGGCTCTGTACCAGGGCAGGTAGTATCCTCAATTCAACAGTCGGGACCTATTCCATAAGTCTAAAGTTCACTCTTGGGTATTTACTCGTGGTTCGTGGTCATGATGCTCTACTTTTGTTTTCCCTTTAGGATAGAAAAGATTGGATGAGGCACTGGCTTTAACGTGATCCCAAGTCTATTAATGAGCTGAAATGTTCTCGACAGAACAAGGGGACCATATTAGGAGCGCTTATGAATACCACAGTTTTTTGCTGATATTTTAGAAATTCCACAAACCAACCTCTAACGGGTACTGTAGTGTTTTGTGCGTTTCTCGATGACCGCTTTGAGCTTCTCCGTCGACGGGCCATCGTATTTTTCACGTATATCATCGAGAATCGCATTCCACTCCTGTAGTGACGTCCATTCCAACCGGTGGAATTCTTTTAACAGTTGGAGATGTGTACGAAGTACGTCTTTAGTTATGTGATGGACATTTGATGAACAGAACTCTGAAAAGGCAGCACTGAGTTGTTTCAGAAGACCTGGGAATCGCAGGCTTTTGGCAGGACCAGTCAAAAAAGGTATCGAAAGGTGGTAAGTTGGCTAGGGAATACAGAATTTGCTAAGGCAGTCATCGGCTGGTCCTATGAAGCCCCACAAAAGAGAGCTTTGAAAAAAAAATCGAGACAGGATAGAGCAAATCGTGGGATTGTAGCGCAGCTGCGTATTAGATAAACATTAACAACACAAGTAATCACAAACAACGGTGCAGCTATTACCTGGGAAAAGTGGCTCTTGTGGTTGTTCAGTCTGAGTGGCATCATTGACCCGATGCTTGCTAGGTTTACCAAGTGAAGAAGGTGTATGTTCACTTGAAGACCTCCGAGTCGCTGTGGCTGATTTTCTCGAACTCTTTTCACTGGACTGCTGTCTTCTTTCATAACTCTTCTTGGCCGGCTCCCGGGTAGGCGTTGACGAAGACGAATGGCTAGAACGTGTTTTAGGGCTAACCGACCTCCTTCTTTGCATTGAAACCGGTGCTGCGACCCTTTTCGGCTCGATTGTAGGCTCTGATGAACTCCCAGAACTTCTTGAAGGGCTTCTCATTTGCGGTTTTGCATGTGAGATGTCTGCACGGTCTTGGCTCACCTTATCACTAATGGAATCAGCCTCGAAAACATTTTTCTCCGTGGAAACAGAGTCGAAGTCAGAGTCGTAGTCTCTCAGCGTTGATGATCCCGAGCTTGGGTCCACCTCCAGATCTTTGGTAGCGGAAATCTGAAAATCAGGTGTAAATGGGAGGTTCGACAAAGTTTCAAAGTAAAAAAAGATGTACCTTAGAGGCTATCGATCTATCTGAAGACTTCGATGAAGACTTCGATTTGTTGCTGATGATTGTGGAAGAAGAGGAGGTTGTGGAAGAGCTAGACGAAGACGAGGACGAAGACGACGAGGCAGAAGGCGCCTTCGCTGCAAGGCTAGGTTCAGAAGAAGATGAGCTGCGACTACTTGTGCTTCGGGACGAACTCGTAATAGAAGAGTTCCCGGACGACTTTGATGATTCTTTGAAACGAACTGATTTCGGCTTAGGTAGATCTTCCTTAAATGATGGTGATATCGTCTATAACTGCAACATTCACCAAGTAAACTCACATCAAAATCAATCGACTCTATATCACTGCCACTTTCGACCGCTGCACGAAAAGGGCTTTTTGTTTTGAAGTCGTTCCGCCTGGGAACGACCAGCTGAAAACACGATCAAATAAGCAATGAATCGAAGCAGAAACCCAATGAGACAACTGTAGACACCAACAGATGATGCCTACAGTTGCCTCATTTGTTCCTCTTGCAACAATACTTTTTAACATTGGCTGTACCCCACGAATCCTGGGAGGAATGCTTAGTCGCACCAGGAAGTTCGTAGTCTGGAGCTTACGAGTTTGGATCGTCACAAGGGGTCCAGATACTCTACCGATTCACTTCAGACAAATTAGATGCCAAGAAAGTACTGTACAGGCTGCCAGTCCATCGTCCATGTGAATACCGTATCAGTACAGTGTGCCGCCCTCATGAGTATGATGTGTTCAGATTCGATTTCATCCTATCGTGACATCTACGCAATCGTCTACTGAGCTATACAATACCCATCAATCCGGATTCCATGACACCACAGTGGTGAAAGTGGCACCCTTGATTGAATAGGTACCGAATGGAGTGCAGATATCGATCTAATGCATCGATGATCAATGAGACAATCGGCAAAGATGTAGAAGAGTGATTCTTGTGAATATTTGCCCATTTCTAGACAGGGCCGGGCTCTGTTGGGCTATGTCGCGCAATGCGTCAGACCGATTGGTAGCTCCAGTGCTGAGCCTTCCATTACTGTGGAGTTTCAAACAAGCAAAGACGGTCTGCTGAGGTTTCTGTACCGTGGGCAGAACGCTTAACCTCTCACATGGCTCGGATTCGCACTTGGGCTGTTTGAGCATCGTGCTCCTCATCCCAGTACCTACAGAGATCCATTCGTCTTGGAGTTCTCCACAGCATTTCACTCATACCTCACCAGCCTCATAGTATAGTTAGAGTGCTTCTTTAAGTTAGGTGTTTTGCTCAGCAAGGTTTCAAGGATGTAAAAATGATTAGTCAAGCTGTAAACTCATAGCACTTCACCTGTTCTCCGCTTTCAGACTCGAAATCAGGTATGTCGGAACTTTCCTTCCTCGAAGTGCTGCTGAGTCGTTCTCGTGTGTTGTGGTGTTTCAGCACTTTTGGCGGTTTTATTAGTGAATGATCGATCGATGTTCGAAGCTCACGAAGTTCCGATATGCTCTTGCGTCCCAGTTCCAATCCTAGAACAATAGCACTTTACAGTGATTTTTTTGCTTTTTTTAGTTATAAGGTCCTCTTCACATTACGAAAATACTCGAAAGTAAAGCCTTGTATGTAGTAGCTAGTGTCCCATCCCACAGTCCCTATTTAGTAGGGACGGCTCCGCTAGGGACATAGAGCAAGAGCACTGACGTTAGTCCATCTCATGCTAGCTGTAGTTGTCCCAGCAAGAACTAGGGCTCCCACCATCGATGAGGGGCTTTAAGGAGGATTTGACTGAGTTATGAGTATTTCTTAATAAAAAGTTCATAAGGGTTACCTGGTAGTCCACGAGAAGTGGCGCCAGATTTCTTGGAATCTTCCTTGCCACTGTCAAGCGGTAAATCAAATAAGATACGTTCCTCTCCAGCTGAAACAATAGCGATTACTAACAGCTCAGTCAACAAATCGTTTCAGCAGATCAGTATCAAACTACTACTTGGAACTTTGTAGTTGATTTCTTCCAAAAATGTTTTCTTAATGATCATATTCATGCTGATCGGGGTTGTTCAAAAAAGTTAAATCAATTGCTGCGACCCCAAACAACCTGGTGATCTCAGAGGTGTACTTTTTTTAGAAAGTTGTCTTACTCAGTAAGAAGGGATAAGCACTNCCACGAGACGAGTGTCAGTTAAGGAAGAGAGAACATCAAAGGTAAAGATGTAGGTAACAGTTCTGTCCAAGCACCCGGAACTCTCTGTTTTCGAAGAAACAAGGGGGAATCGATGCGCACCGTATGGATCTGGTCGGGCATAATTCTTACTTGTAATCGACTACGGTAAACAATGGTGAGTACTATTATTGTAAGAGTACCAAATACTACACATTGAAATAAAATATGCTGAAAAGTGGTGACGTACTGCTGGATGAAGAATCGAAGGAAGGAGTCTTGCCCGACAGATGACTTCGCCGTCCTGACGTACTAAAAAGAATCGCAAAATATTCAACATGGCCTGACTGATGCGTGCATGGCTCGAACAAAAAGAAATACGAAAAAAAAGGAAAAAATCACGAATTTTGGACTTCTATGATAAGCAACCGACAAATTTTATGGAATACATAAAAACTTAGTTATGGGTGATGTTTCGGGAACATTGAATGCGAACTCCGAGCTTTTGAGGCAAAGAGCTACCAGTACCATAGCTCATTTCCTTGATCGCTTAAAGGACGATTTGGTATTTTATAAAATGTTGAGTAAATGCAACGATACCTATAGCCTATAAATCCAATTTTACCCACTCCAAACGGACTTTATNCCGAGCTTTTGAGGCAAAGAGCTACCAGTACCATAGCTCATTTCCTTGATCGCTTAAAGGACGATTTGGTATTTTATAAAATGTTGAGTAAATGCAACGATACCTATAGCCTATAAATCCAATTTTACCCACTCTAAACGGACTTCATACCCCTTTGAGGTGAGTGAATCCCCAGTAGACTCCCTAAGAAGAACAATCTTATGGTCCGGTACTGAGGAGCTGATTCGGCTAATGAAAATATCTAACAAGAGCCTATTCAAAATGATACCACGACTTCTACTAGAGGTCATATGCCTGGCTCGCTCTACTATCAAGCCATAATGCAAAATATCCTTACCTTTTATCGTCGTCCGATTCATCGAAAACATAATCTTTTTGCGTTTTCTGCCTGAGTTCTGAGATCATCAACGACAATGATCGACGACGTTCTGTAGGTGCTCTTGAAGAATCTTGTAGTGAATTCAAATTCGGTGCTCTGGAAATGAAATTCAGCTTTAATCTGGTGAATCGGCAAGTGCTACGCCTTAGCCAAGATCCAAGTAATTTTGCAGCCACACAAAAAAAGTATTTTTTGAATTTACGTTTATTCTATTATACTGGAAATATTGATGTCAGTCGAGCGTTAACACTATGAGGAAATAATAAGAAAAATACACTCAATCGGATAGCTACTGCAACCATGTATGACAGGAAAAACGCTGAGATCCTTCTTTGCTTTCTCTCATTTCTGCAAATTGATTATTGATAATTAATAATATGATAATTAAATTATAATAATTATCATAATTCTCATAATTAATTATTTACTTTTTTATTAATTATAATGTAGTATTTCCTTATTGCTCTTCATCAATTACTATAATGCATATATCACTTACTTATTTTCCGTAGTTTGATTTTGACGAAGAGCTTTGGTGGCTTTATCGAGTGACTGAAGATAGCTCTGAAATTCGCCAAAGCTAAGCTTTTCGAGTTGATCTCACTAATAACGTTGTTTCTGTGGTTAGGTACACTGTGTCACTATATTTTACAGTACCGCATGCTACAGTATGCTACATATATGCCCATGAATGACTTGCGAGCAATGAGTTAAATCTTGAGAAGGTTCTGTAACGCCATTTGAAGGCAGTTAGATTTTTTCATGCGCCATAATCAATAAATTTTAACGAAATCAAAACAATATAAATGTTTAATCAACTTTACCGTGCCCTACTCGTTATACTATCATATAATATAATATTTCAACTTCGTCCACAGACAACATAAATATTCAAATATGAGAAAAATCAAGAAAAATTACTCACCAATGCTGATTGAGACAGGTTCTCAGGCTGTTTTGTGGAAGCGGCATACATGCTCTAGCGTTCGTTATAATATGAGGTCTATCCGAAAACAAAAATTCCTTGACTTTTATTTTTTACTTGAACTTTCACCAGTACAGACATGGTACTACCATTCCCCTATTGAAAAAATGTACTGGTCATAAAACAAGGTTATGCGGAGGAAAAAATGGACTTGCGAAAGAGTCGAGCAAGAAAAAAAATGGGAACAAGTACAATAGAGTCAGTTCTCATTTCTGGCAATGGGCAGACATCAATGCTATGCTCAATCGTTCGCGAAAACTTTTGGACAGAGTCTAATGTCTAATATAAGCCTTATTCGAGACCCGTTCTCCTGGCAAAATGCTTTTTATTGCAAGAAAAATCCAACAGACATTAGGATGGGATATGGACCATCGATCAGGTAATCTTTTGAATCTTTTGGTGGGATTTGCCAATGCAAGGAAAGGGATGGCTTCAGGAGTGAAGGATAAGAAGCTCTTCATCCCCTTCCCCTCCCCCCCCCCCCCCNCCCCCCCCCCCCCCCCCACACCCAGAATCCTTCAGAATCTTCTTTGATCCAAAATTATAGATTTAATGAGGCCATAGAATGGGGCGCGTAGAAGAAGCATTGGGCTGGCAGCTGGCGTTCTAGAAGGCAGCGGCAGCTAGCTTCCGTCCCTGTTTGGATGAGAAGAAGGGTCGGACGGCATCGAACACGATCTCTTACCAAGGAACCAACATTCTGTGCCTGAATCAAATCTCCGTCGGAGAAAATGAATAAAATTGAACCTATACTTGAGGTAACTTTGCTTATCCCTCTTTGGTAAAGGGAAAGAATGCTAGATGTATTAGAACACCAAGACTAGTAAATATAGGCGAGTGTAGGTGAACTAGAATGAAGTGGCCGGACCGCCATAGCATGCAGGTTTATGGATCGAAATCGACTAAGAAATGATCCCCTGAAAGACACAGTCTGGAAAACATGTGTTCTCCAATCTATCTAGGATTTCCGATGGAAAACGAATTTCTGGGAATATTTCAAAGTGAAATTTCGAGGAAAAGTCGAAAATCAATTCCTAAACCCTCACCAAGACAGGCTCAGGATTGTTCTGTGAACGCGATCAATCGAGCTTGATCTAGCCCGATCGAACGGGTGGTATTGACAGAAAACGCTGTTCCACAAATAAATTGAAAGCCTTGCAAAAAAGCAGACGAAACGAAAAAGAGGGAGACCAAAGTGTACACACTTCCAGCGAGGTTCGTGATAACATCTACTAGGGGGAGATACGAATGTGAGCCGATTGGCAAGAATGTTGGTAAAAATGAAGTACAGTACCCACTCTATTTGACAACTGTATCTTTCCCGAAAAGTTTTTGTGGGTGATTCCTCTTCCTCCGCTAGTCGAAGCTCAGAGTAATCCGACTCCAACTCGAGCAAAGTGTTCTGCCCTAAGTTAACAACCAAAAAGGATTACCTAAGATAAAGAAAAACTGGGAAACGGTTGCAGGTGTTTTAGGAGTGGCCGAAGCCCAGATTCAGGTAGCGAAAGTCTCAATCCCTTATCTTAGGCGACCGGTTGAGTCCCATTGAGACCAAATATGTACAACTCCCCACCGAATGTCAACAAAACAACAGACCCCTTTACTTCGACTCTTATAGAGTAGAAGAACAAGGTAAAAGGGTTGGATGATTTTCAGTAGCACCTTTTGATACATACTAGTCAATTTCATATGAAAGATGTGAAAATAATCGTCTGGAGATAGAACCAGTCGGCTTGAAAAGAACGAAAAGGACAATAAACATGGTACTTCAAATATGATAAGTCAAGATAGAAGAAGAATCTGCCAGAGGCATGTTTTGTCTGAGAAAGATGCCTGACTGGCCATCAAAGGACACTGGAAAACCGGGAGCGCAAGATCAACCACGTTGTCTAAACATGGTTACCATGGCGACACTACATCTAAAGGCCTCGCTAGCCTTTGCTCGGTGTAAATAACTGCAACAACTTTTAAAATAAGAAATACATGAGTAAATACGAATCTGTTTATTAACATGAACTCACTATATATACATAAACAACGAATGGATAGAATAGTGAAGCAGGAGGAGGCAGAAAGGTTCGGTTAGTAGCGATAACCGGCAGCATGGGGTGGCTCGAAGCTGTACTGTTCCACTTGTGGAGCTTCAGTGATTGTTGCTGGCAGAGGAGTTGGCTGAAAACTATTTGCTTTGAGAAGATTTTCATTTTTACACTTAACCCTTGTTATATTTTGAATTTCACGGTTTTTATATGAGCTTTGGTATACCCAAGGCCCATAAGCCCACCTAGAGCATTCCGGATTCCCTATTATGGTCCAGTGCCAAGTATCAAAAGTGTAGAAACTTCTGAAAGTGACATACCGATGAGAAAGAGGATTGATCGTACATCAGTTCTCGTTTTTGACGTTTATCCTTGGCTCGGTTGATCAGCCATACAGCTAACCAGATGGCAAAAGCAATGATTACCAGTATACAGAAGATCACAATCAATGCTACAGCCCATCCGTATTTGTTATGCCTGAATATGTAAACAACTAAACAATCATCTTGGCAGCAAGTATCACTAATGCAGTATGTGAAGTAGTAATTAAAAACTCGTGGAGTTCCTTCGGCTGATTTCACAGTACTTTATTGGCTTTCGGTAGGTGGAAGTAAGGTAGTCGGTCGAGGAGCAGTATCAAGTAAGTCAAGGCACGACTCTTAAAATTCAATGAGACCCAAGGTAACCTATGCTTTGGCCATTTTCTAGCCAAATAAGCGATGGTGTTTGGATTTGTCTACGGCATGCAAACATTGACGCCAACCTTTGCCGGCTTCATCATAACCTGCTGAGGTTCGCAGTCTAAGTACGCCCCCAACCACATCATCAATTCAGACTTACTGTCTGATGCATGGCTCATTCCAGATCTTTTGATATTCAGCATTTTTCGACTAACCAGTCATCATTGTCACAGCATCCGTACTGACAGCATCCGATATCCTTGTAGCATCGCTCAACAACTGTTTGTTGGGTGTTGGCGATACCGTAGAAGCAATCATAGAACGCTGGATCGACCGCTAAACAATGTCCAGTATGAAATCAGAAAAATCAACAGCGCCCAGTTCTAGTTGGGTCCACCAGGCGTTCAGGTTAGCGAAGACAATCAGCTTAACTATTCACTCCATTGTCTTCCCCTCCCTTCTCCGTAAGCCCCGGTCCCCATCAAAACAAGTGGTCACCAAGAATTATTGGGACACCACCGTTCCTCTAGTTATTGGTTTACCTCAAAAACTACGCATTGATCCTGGCTTCCCGTAAACCTACTAGAACTCAACAGTCATAATGGGGAAAGTCCCACATTAGTATGGTCAACTGACTAGTTTACAGCACCATTCAAGCGGTTCTCCAATCCCCTTTCCTCTTCCATTCCGCCCCTCCACCGATTCCTCTCTCCCTCGCCCAACAAATAAATATTTGATCAGGCTATAGGCATCCACACAAATGAAAATTGATCATGCTATTGATCGCAGAAAAAACCAATTAACAGAAACACCTACTGTTTACTCTCTGCTCCACAAGAGCTGTTCTGACCAAATTTTGCCCATTTCCAAGGACGGGAGACCGCTGACCACCCGTTGCTGGGTCAAACTGCCGTTGAAACGGATTGATTGTGGTTGCTGAAAAAACATGTCTATTAACTTCCAAAAATCAATTTTGGCACTGTTGAAAATTACAAATCGGTCAAAAAGAGTAATGTCGAAAAAAAAAGAAAAAAATGTAGAAAAAGAAGACATGTTGAGAAAAATTCATTAGCTTAGAAATTCTTCCCTTCTAGAGTATGCACCAAATTTCAAACTAACTTATTAGAACTAAGCCAAAACTGTTAGAGTATAAAATCCACCCGAGCTTTTTCATGTTACACTAGACGACTAAATTCGAGACCCTTCGGATACGAGCCGCCCCTATTTTGAGCTTTCCGGAAAAACGACATCAGCCCAGGACTTCTACTGCTCATCTCTTCAGTGAGAACTAGTCTGTCTTGAAGTTCTTTCAGCTCAAGAAAGGAGCGATGTCTATTATAGACTGTCAGGACCTGTCTAACAAGAGAATAGCGCCTCTCTGGATATATTGGACCAGCCAACACTCGGAAATGGAACAAAAAACGTTAAAGGAAATATCTATAAACAGATCCTCGAAAAAGGAAGTTTCCACAAGAATAGTGCTCAAAATTCTCCACAGCACTGATGGAGCATTTTCTAATCTTGTTTACAATTGGTACTAATACAATTACCATAGGTACTACGACAATATTGAATACCACAAGAGGGAAAGGGCCTTGAAAGAAGTCAGCGAAATAAGCCAGGTAACTGTGAATGGCCTGTTTTGCCCTAACTAAACTTGATTTTGGCAAGTTCATCTGATCTGATTCTTCAAGAGTTCGCATTGTCAATGACGAAAATCCAGTAGTACTCAAATGAGTGAGCTTTAAGAAACGAAAAGTGCAATAATCTTGAGTAAACGAATAAATGGCGAGGCCAAGATATCGGATAGGTAACTGGTTCGGATCGATGGCAGGCAAACATTCCGACTTTTTTCACCCTAGAAATCGATGAGCTTCCCTTTCCAATGGACGGAAACGTCTTGAAGTCTCGAGCCATTGTGGGATGGGAATTCAAATCGGAAGAAAATCATACGGTTATATACCGGGATTCGGCTGAAGGGGTAAGGCACTACCACCATAGAACCACGACTAAAGGCTTATATGGATTCCTATATAGGCCAAAATGGCTAACAGTTCTGAGCCCCACCCAAATATGCAATCACAGTGAATTCCGTAAAAGCTCTTCTCTTCTCGTTCCTTTACAGTGATCGAAAATCTTCTTCAACCTCTGCATAAGAAATGTAAGTGAAGAAAAAAAGTAGAGAGTAGGAGAGTTTATCATTCATTATAATTGAATCCTTTTACTCTTGGAACGACGGAACTGGGTTGATATCAAAGTCTCGATAATCCTATATGGAAGGCAAAAGACGTAAGAAGGTCATAGAATCGTAATAGGGGTCGTAGAACAGAACCTATTGGAGTAGATTCACTCCATCAAGCGCGTACTTCATGCAGCATCTGCTCACACCCTTTTACTACCGTTTTGGAGTACTAGGAATAAGTGAGGCTAATCATGAATTTGAAATGTTCTCCACTGAATTGCACTGTCTCGATGTACTGGAAGAATCCGCAATACCAGTATTCTAAACCCTACGATTACCACTCTCAAAGCTCAGTTGCTGGAGAGTCTGCAAATATTGGAAGATCTTGTCAGCCTACTCCTAGAAAGCTCAATAGCAGGATATTGAAAGTCAGTAAATAGTTGGCGATCTTGCCTGCCTACTTCGAAAGATCCAATGGCAGGTTTTCGAAAGCCAGCAAATAATTGTAAGCCTTGTCTACCTACTTTGAAAAAGTGACTTCACAGTTACTGAACACAAGAGAGGAGCCAAAATCTTCTCTAGCGAGGGTTAGAATACAACAATGAGTAGGTAAAGCTCAGGTGATTGATTCCAGAAAGATTTGAATACCTAATAGCTTCATATAGAGCTGTAATGATGAGTGAAATAAGATGAATGAATTACTCTATGTAGCCATAAAGCCGAATCGTCCATCTTTGACTCAGAACTGTCCAGAAATTTGATGCCATTCAATGGATCGTAGGAACCAGATGGCTTTCAAGTAATGTCTCTGTCCTGACACATTACCTAGAACTCACTCAAGTACTTCAGAGAGATGAAAATTTGCTTGACTTGAGCTGGTTCGAATCACCGAAGTCTATACAAATTTTGTCCAGAAGGTGGAAAACACAGTAACAAATGAAAAAAATATAAGAGACGTAATAAAGAGATTCCAAAAATATATAAAAATTTAAAAGAAAACGTTTGAAAACTCACCGAGTCCATCCCAACGTGATCCACTACCAGCTGCAGCCATTGTCGTTGAAGGTAGAGGCCGATTAGCGATCCGAAGGGCTGTAGGCGTCGTATGCCGAGGGCTGACGGAAAACCGGACGCCGACAGCGCCCTAGTCAACATACACAAGCACACACACACATAGAGTCATCGACGAGGAACTAACGCGGATTGCCGGATTCATGTTTCCGGATTCTAAGCAAATATAATGATCACTTGAAGCATACCGCGTGCCCACCGTGATGGTTGTGGATTGAAATCAGTTGCGACACTTCTCGTCAAACAAACGACGTCGATAGATTAGTGCGGTTACGTCACCTACAAACCCTGGAGGATGTGGGTGGTGCGCTGGAACACTCCTACAAACTAGAAGTCTTGCAACAAACTAGAAAAAAACGATAACGATAGGTGGAATTGTTCTATCGGCCGCTTGTACTAAGCCACACAGCTGCCCATAAAGCCGCTATGGCAATTAGCAGAGCTCAGGAAAAACCTGTACAGGGTTGAGTGGTTCTTAAAATCTGATATACCTCTTGGATCTCCTCTTCCAGTGTATACTGTAGTGAAAATTCGAGAGCGATTTTAACAAAAATTTCTCTAAAATGGCAATGTAACCCGTGTTATTATGTCCCCACAAGGTATACAAATTCAAGGAGAATCAACATTTATTTTCAATGGTCACGTTGTTCTCCTGAATGA